TAAGAACAGTTTAATAACTAAAGTATAATATAAAACTACTACTAATAAGGGAAATAACAAGGGGAGAGGATACAATTGCTCACCACCTGCCGACCGATACCCAGCCCAACCCGAGCAAGTGATCTGGGCCTTCCAGGTGACTCCCCCCCCGTCTATATACTGGGCATGATGTGCTGTGGTATGGAATACCCCTCTGGCCAGTTTGGGTCAGATGCCCTGTCTCTGCTTCCTCCCGGCTTCCCGTGCCCCTCCTCACTGGCAATGCATGACAGACTGAAAAGTCCTTGATTAGAGTAAGCATTAGTTAGCAACAAATAAAACATTGGTGTGTTAACACAGCACTGTATAGCTAGTAAGGAGAAAAATAACTGCCACCACTGAACCCAGGACAGCACTGGTGCATTGGCCAGGAATCGAACCCGGGTCAACTGCTTGGAAGGCAGCTACGCTCACCAATATACCACCAAAGCAGATGTTATATTTATGTTGGCTGCAGAGGAACCGAACATATCTAATGCCAAAAGAATCTTGAGCACCATCTTTTCAAGCCATTGCAATTGTGGCCACACAATCTGAAATAGCCCTGAAATAACAAAATAAGGGATTTGAGAGAGCTTTCTCTTAAGTAGGGAAGGGACAAGTTAAAAGTGTCTTCTTAGCAAAAATGTGACTAACAGCTCTAAGTAAAAGTTTATTTACTAATAACTCCTTGCAGAACTAGTAGAGTGCTGATAAACAAGCATGTCTGCATGTATTCCAGGTCCTAAGTGCCCCCTTCCAAAGACTTAAGGAGTGAACTACGAGAAGTGTATATGCAGCTTACAACTGTCAGTAAGCAAAAGCAATTATGATGCTGGATCATCTTCACTTCCCAGAAAAAAAAATCTGCTACTGCAGAATTCAGCAACTGCAGAAGGACTCTTTCCAGGAGGCTCTCACTCCCCCTCTCATCCAGCTTTGCTAAACCCCTCTAGTCCTTCTAGGGCTTCATTGTGAAAAAACCATCCACAAGCCCAAATTCTCAGTTCTATGAGTGGCAGACAAAAAAAAAAAATTAAGGAGAAATTAATTTTTGAGACTTTGCAGTTGAGAAAAAGAATAAAGGCTCCATAAATGATGATTACCTCTCATTGCTCATATACTGGCTTTCTTCATCTTGTTTTGAATTCATCCTATTTGGAATCAACCATGTTGGTTCAGAAACAGATGGCTTTAAACTGTTTGGGGTTTAAAGCTTTTTAGTTCTAGTTCCTTAAGAAAACCAAGCCATATTTCCACTGAGCTGACAAAATTGATATTCAGTAAAATTTCAGAGCATATACTATAATTTTTCCATACTATAATTTTTCCATAAGCTTAGTACCTCAATCTAAAGATTGCCTAATGGGCAAAAGTTCTGTTGTTTAGTTATTCTCTGTTTTAAAGGTGGGTTAAAAAAACATGGAGTCTAACTTTCCCAAGAATTCCACTCTGAGCCACTCGGACATTTAAAAACAGAATCAATATGTATGGTTTTAAGACAGATTGCGGTTTGACAAGAATGTTGAAAAATTAATGAAATATCAGAAGCAGAGACTTGAAATCATCATTCTGACTCAGTTAATACTAAGTCATGTCAACTAAAACACCACTCTCCCAAGAGCATCAAATTCAACTATTTGGTCTCCCAAATTCTATATTTAAGAACTTCATTCAGTGTCACTTTTGACTGAAGAAGCCACAGGAGACAAAAGTTTTCATGCTTCAGATAGAGTTACCCTTTAAATTCAGTATTTAACTTTTCTGAATGTACTTTTTTGAAGAATGACTTATTTCTATTACTTCAGTTTATTCGGTTCTATGTTTTCTTTTCACTTCTATCAATATTAAGTACAAATTCACCCACTGGCATTTGAGAATCCCTCAGCAATCACAACCCACCACTCTGCAATGCTGATTCACAGCTTCTGCAGTCACTTCAGGGAGAACAAAATAGCAGCATGTGATTAGCTCAACAGAAAAAATAAAGCTTAGATGTCAAATTTTGTACCAAACTACCCAGAGGCCTTTCTGCTTCACAGAAAATCTTAAATTGTTGCAAATGTTGCAAGTTCGACCATACTAGCAGTGCAAAGTTCCTCTTATTTTTTAAGAACAGCCACGACACAGCCAAAGATTATTGACTGCAACAATTACTCCACCAATTCAATCATCAGTGATTCAGCTAATTCAACCCAGCATTCCACAGCACTAGTTTGTATCTTCCTATTGTTATCCACATGATTTACACTTCTAACAATGCCTTTGCAAGAAGTCTGTATTTACTTACATAAGGTAAAACACCTAACCACTTCCACATCTCCTCTGCAAGTGCACCACAGGAACCTGTAGTATCTGAAAGTACCTAAATCAACAAGCATTTAGTGGCTATCAGTTGATCCTGTACCATCCCTAAATAAGCATCACTATAATTTTTTCCAGTGATATGTATACAGGTGCTTCTTTGCTGGTTTCTAAACTCTAGGGTACACTATTTGTTAAGATAAATCCTGCTGACTAACCCTGCTGAATAACTACCGTGTTGCAAACACCTTTTGCATCAGGAGCTACGGCAAATGTTGCATATATGTTGGCTCTTTCTTGCAGATCATGTTCCGTTCTTGTTTGGATAGTGGTGTGGTAAGGTTTCCTTCCAGAAAGCCATCTTCTCCGTGAGCTAAGAGCAGGGCCTAAATGTTGGGCTGCTACAAGACAGAAATGTTTCTCAGCTGAAAACCAGAAACAGGATGTAGAAGCTTCCTGAATTTCCACAACTGACCTTAGCAAAGTATTTCATATCTTTCTATCAAATTTCTTGAAAACATTTACTAAAGCCTATAAGGAGTACTACTTATTTATCTTCAGTAATCTATTAGGTGTGTGCAAAATCTTAAGAGACAGGATGCATCAGGAATTATGACTAGGTTTTGACAGGCTGCAGCATCATCTTGTACCAGAAGATGAAACTTTCTATCTTCTCAAATGGATCAATCTTAAATACAAATTCTGTTCATGAATTATGACCAGGTTGACAGGCTGCAGCATGACCTCATACTAGAAGATGAAACTTTGTATCTTTTCAGATGGATTAATCTTAAATACAAATTCTATTCAGTGGGTAATTGCACAAATGTGGACCATAACACTGAAAGGCATCTTGGTAAGTGATGGCATGCCAGGAAACAGTGAACATTACTGTTTTATATGTATTTTATTATCATTTTCATAGAAACGATATATGTATCACTATTTTTTTAAGTCGCTTAACTTACATGTGTCCTATAAAACCAGTATCAAACCATAAGAATTCAAAATAGAGCAGTGTGTTTAGACAAGGTATGTAAGAAAAATAAACGTATATAGCTCACTTCACCTAGAGCCCAAAACTGTGTGGCATTCACTCAACACTCATCTATGCAATCCATAGAACTTCATTTGCAAGGAGTAACTTATGGACTGTCAGGAATCACTGGAACAGTGAATGTCTGCAAAACCAGAAGCGTGGACTCTCCATTTCTGGTGATTTTAAAGACTCAGCTAGACAAAAATCATAGCTGAGCCCTGATCTAGTGCTGGTAACAGTCCTGGTTGGAACAGACTGGACTAGATGACTTCCAGAGGTCCTGTCCAACCAACATTTCTATGATTCTCTGATTTCATGGTACTGTGTCAGATTACCACATTCTTAATGAATGGATTAATGAAAAAAAATGTCATGGTCACAAAAATCTCAGAGTCAAGAGCAGTCCTTTAACTCCAAAAATTGTATTACAACAATGGCAAGACAGCTACATTGACATAGTAAAATTGGCTCAAAATAAATGGGAAAGAGGAGTATAAAAGAAGGTGTCCAGCTGAAAGAAGACTATTTTCTCCAAATTGGATAAGCCACTTCTCCCTTAAAACATGATACTAAGAAATCATATAGAACCCTTTCTTCTAAGTACATAGTTACCTGATGCCTTACAAGGTAAGCTTAAAACTCTATGAGCATTTATATCTTTTTAAAAATTACTTCTTGTAGTTTTGCCCAAGTATCAATACTACCATATTTATGGTAAATGGAATTTCGTACGCACTACCCACTTCAAACTTTGTATGCAATCTCACAATTCATCAAAAGTTTAAAGACAGTCATGTCCTTGCTATACTGCCAGACAAGCAAGGGCGCAACACAAGAAATCAGAGTTCAAGAGCAGAAAACCAAAAAGCATTCTTATACATACATTCTTATACATATTTCTATATAGCAGTGACTTTTTCTAATTTCAAGCTAATCAAATTACCAAAATTTCACACTCATTCTAGATGACAGTTTACTAGCTAAACACTGCGTTTCAGTTCCTTTAGGAATGCAAAGAGATGTAACCGTTGTGTGGTTCATTTGGTAGTCTGACTCAAGGAAGGGCTTCCATGGTTTCTTGGAAGTTTTGCCCACACATTATTGCTGCCATACACTTTGCATAACCGAGGGAACCGCAGGGATCAATGCGATCTCCACTGCGGCTCCTGGACAGCAGTAACGATGGGACAAGGCGAGTCTTTGTGACGTTAAGAAAGGCCCCGAGCGGGACCAAACGCAGCAAGAACCGTCCTGGTCTTGTGACGGGTAAAAGCCACCTCCTGAAGTCCGCTGGCACGCAACATTTATACAGACCTGCTGGTATCGGTTGCAAACGGGGCACCGCCGGGCCTGGTACCGCCGTCCGTGGACGGCCCCGAACCCCGGTCCCGTCCGCCCAGGGCGGAGGGACACGTACACAGACACAAGCACACACTTACTTGATGTCCTCCCAGACGGCAGGGCCGTAGTTAGCCACCTCCTGAAGTCCGCTGGCACGCAACATTTATACAGACCTGCTGGTATCGGTTGCAAACGGGGCACCGCCGGGCCTGGTACCGCCGTCCGTGGACGGCCCCGAACCCCGGTCCCGTCCGCCCAGGGCGGAGGGACACGTACACAGACACAAGCACACACTTACTTGATGTCCTCCCAGACGGCAGGGCCGTAGTTGCGGATGACGAGCAGCTCCAGGGCGTGATTG